TGTCGGTTGTCTTTTGGTTTTGTGGACTGTTTCTTTTGCTGTGCAAAAGCTTTTTATCTTGATGAAATCCCAATAGTTCATTTTTGCCCTGGCTTCCTTGAGTGGAAACATTCTTAAGATGTGTTTAAATTAGTTTAGATTTTTTTATTTCACTATTATTTGTTAAGCTTACTTTCTTATTCGTGAGTACAGAATCCACTGATTTTTCCAAAAAATATCAAAGTCAGAAATTTATGAATTATGTTAAGAAAAATTATCTAAAACTTAGAAATAAGAAGTAAGGTAAAAGATAAATGTATACCCTTTCAGTGTCATATTAGACATGTCTATCCTGGTATTCTTTTTTCTGCTATCAATAGACAACTGTTTTGTGTGTCTTCTTTGAACCAGCTTCATCAAGCAGCTGATCTCTCATTAATGACTTAAGTCAATCTTTGGCATGTGTTGACGATACTTTTAGAATTATGGGGTTTACTTTTTTTTTTTTAATTTTTTGTTGAAGTGTAGTTGACGTACAATGTTATGTTAGTTTCAGGTGTATAGCATAGTGATTAGACAACTCTATACATTAGACAGTGCTCACCACGGTAAGTGTAGTTCCCACCTGTTACCGTACAAAGTTATTACAATATTAGTGACTATACTCCCTCTGCTATACTTTTCTTCTTTGTGACTGATTTATTTTATTTTATTTTTTAAAAAGATTTTATTTATTTATTTGACAGAGACAGACACAGCAAGACAGGGAACACAACCAGGGGGAGTGGGAGAGGGAGAAGCAGGCTTCCCGCGAAGCAGGGAGCCCGATGCGGAGCTCGATCCCAGGACCCTGGGATCAGGACCTAAGCCGAATGCAGACGCTTAACGACTGAGCCACCCAGGAGCCCCGTGACTTATTTATTTTATAACTGGAAGTTTGTACCTCCTAATCCCCTTCACCTGTTTCACTCATCCTTCTCCCCTCCTAGCAACCACCACTTTGTTCTCTGTATTTAGGAGTTTGTTTCTGTTTGTTGTTTGTTCATTTTTTTATTTGTATAAGTGAAATCATATGGTATTTGTCTTTGATTTATTTCACTTAGCATAATACCCTCTAGGTCCACCAATGTTACGACAAATGACAAGATTTTTTTCTTTTTTATGGCTGAGTAGTATTTAATTTATGTATATGTGTGTTATATATAACATCTTCTTTATCCATTCATCTATTGGTAGACACTTAGATTGCTTCTAGATCTTAGCTGTTGTAAATAATGCTGCAATAATCATAGAAGTGCATATCTTTTTGAATTAGTGTTTTTACTTTCTTTGGGTAAATAGCCAGCTGTGGAATTACTGGATCATATGGTAATTCTATTTTTAATTTTTTGAGGAACCTCCATACTGTTTTCCATAGCGGCTGCACCTGCTTGCTTTCCCACCAACAATGCCCAAGTGTCCCCTTTTCTCCACACCCTTGCCAATTCTTGTTATTTCTTGTCTTTTTTATTTTAGCCATTCTGATGGCTGTATTTTCTCATTGTGGTTTTGATTTGCATTTCTTTGATAATCAGTGATGTTAAGCATCCTTTCATGTATCTGAAAATACATGTCCTTTTTGGGAAAATGTCTGTTCAGGTCCCCTGCCCATTTTTAATTGAATTATTTGGGGGTTTTGTTGAGTTGTATGCATTCTTTTTATATTTTGGATATTAACCCCTTATCAGATATATCGTTTGCAAACACCTTCTCCCATTTTTGTGTTGGTGGTTTCTTTTGCTTTGCAAAAGCTTCTAAGTTTGATATAGTCCCAATTATTTACTTTTGCTTTTGTTTCCCTTGCCTGAGGAGACAGATCCAGAAAACTGTTGCTAAGGCCAGTGTCTAAGAGTTTACTGCCTTTGTTTTCTTTTAGTTGTTTTATGGTTTTAGGTCTCACATTCAGTCTTTAATTCATTGTTACTTTATTTTTGTGTGGGGTATAAGAAAGTGGTCCAGTTTCATTCTTTTGCATGTAGCTGCCAAGCTTTTCCAACACCATTTGTTGAAGAGACTGTCTTTTCCCCATTTATATTCTTGCCTCCTCTCTTGTAGATAATTATGGTTAAAAAAAGATTATGTTGGGACCCCTGCGTGGCTCAGATGGTTAAGCGTCTGCCTTTGGCTCAGGTCATGATCCCAGGATCCTGGGATCGAGACCCACATCAGGCTTCTGGCTCAGCGGGGAGCCTGCTTCTCCCTCTCCCTCTGCCTCTCCCCCTGCTCATGCTCTCTCGCTCTGTATCTCTGTGTCTCAAATGAATAAATAAAATCCTTAAAAATAAAAAATAAAGATTATGTTGAAGTTCAGCTCCTTTTCTTTTAGAATCATGTTTTTAAGTTTTTTAAAATTACACTTTGGAAGTTGTTTTATTCCAAGAATATTTTATGTGAAAGAGGGCTTTTCTTTTTGCTTCTATGAGAAAATACATTCTGAGACTCTTACACATAATTTTTATATAGCCTTTTTGAAATTTAATACTGGGCCAGTCATTCTTAAAATTGCCCTTTAAGATATAACAGTTCAGACTTAAAAATTTTAAGGTGAAAATATTAATAGTTTCAGACTTTGAATCATGAACTGTAGGAAAATACCATTATTTTTGACATGGTGAATAATTCATGTGGTTTATTTTTGTTCTGACAGGGAGTCCTTGGCAGAAGATTCTGTCTGGCTCTTCCTTAAAGTCTGCATCCTGTTTATAAGTACTGAGCTTAGTTTTAATTTTTTTTTTTTTTTTTTTTTAAGTAGGCTCCATGCCTAGGAGCCCAATGCAGGGCTTAAACTCATGACCCTGAGATCAAGACCTGAGCTGAGATCAAGAGTCAGACACTTAACTGTGCCCCTAGTTTTGTTTAATCTTAATTTGAAAAAAAATAAAATAAAATAAAAAATAAAAAAATAATAATCTTAATTTGAGTAGAACCAATGTTTTAATGATAATTTTTAACATTTCTATCTACAAAAAAGGCAGGTATATACTTTTCTTAGGGCTTGTGTTGAAACTGTTGATCAATTTGGGAAGTATTGCTGTGTTAATATTAAGTTTTCTAGTAGGAAGAATATGGAATGTCTTCTTATTTATTTAGGTGTTCTTCAGTTTCTTTCAGTGATGTTTTGTCATTTGTAGTGTATGTGTCTTGCACATCTTTTGTTAAATTCATTCCTAAGTGTTTTATTCTTTTTGCTATTTTAAATGGATTTTTTTTCTTAATTTCTTTTTTGGAATGTTCGTTGGTAATGTATAGACATAGTTGACTTGTGTATATTGATCTTGTGTCCTGAACCTTGCTGATCTACTTTATTTGTAGAAGGGTTTTTTTGTTTA